TTCGAGAAATACCCTTATTCACTTGCTTAACATGAGTTGCATCAGTATTGAATATAGTGCTGAAGGCAGTGGCGGACTAGCATAGCTTAGCATACAAACTGCCGGCAGAAAGAATCAGTAATATGAGGCACAAAAAGGCCACGCTTAAAAATGTCCCAAATTTTCATTTTAACTTTTCTGATTTTTTTCATAAAAAGACAAGATCTAAAGTAGCATGTCTTTTTTAAAAATTGCTTTACACTAAAGTTGGTGATAAGCTAGGTTTAGCATAAGGAATAGCCTAGCTGCTAGGTGTCCAAAGCTTTAGTTTGGTGGGCCTATTTCCAAACTTTTGGACAGAGTATTTAATGCTCACTAATCCACAAACCTAAGGGATAGTTCAGTCCTATAACTGAGCCTGGGTAACATTTTTTACATAAAATGTAAAATGTTCAATAATATTTCATAAAAGAGATATAAAAAATAAATCACATAAATCAATTTATGGCCATTTTTGTAACTTTAGCATTAAAAAGGTCTCACACATAAAAGAGTCAATCACTCCCTGCAATAAGTTCCAAAACAATGCCTGCCCACTGTATAATTTAGTTATTATTCATGTCATAATTATAGTCTTGCTGTCACAAATAAATATTGATTCCTAATATTTTGTATTTTATATTCACCATGACTTAAACATACTGAGTGTTTTAGGCCTATTACCCGGAACTACTCTTCCTAGAAATGACTACCACTCCCCTGAACTACTCATTTCCACCAGGTATGCTAAGCTAGGCCACTCATCAACTGAAAAGAGCTCTATAATTCACACACAGACATAAAAGAAGTGTCAATCATCTCAAATAATAATAAGCAAATATTTCTCTTAATGCTGAAGTCTTCCATTAACAACAGCTAGTAAAAGGGAACCCATAATGCCCCTGTGAAGTTGAGTGAAACCAAAACTCAAATCTTTGCCTATACCAAGAGTTACTAAAGCACACTATTAGATCAATATACTTTACCGGCCTGTGTGGCTGAATCCATTAAAAAGTACAAACAATTCGAAAATGTGGAATTTTCTCAGCACGTCTTTCACATTTTTCATTCACATTTTTTGGCATTTACCCTTTTGAACACATTCATACCCAGACTACCTTTTTAAAGCCATAATCTCTGAGTCAAGATGATGACTTGTTCATACTGCACACTTGTCCGCATGAAAATAGTGGTTTATTTGCTTCCTTGCAACTTTCTAGGTTCCACTGTCATAAAACAACGTGCTCCGGCCCAGCCATCAACATCTCACTTACTAATACTGACGTCACTCCAGCCTTATTGTGTTGGCTTGCTCTCTGAGCACACCTGCTTAGCACAACCAGCCCCAATCAAACCATTTAAGGTCAAAACAAAAGGCTGTGTTGTGGTCAGAAAAAAGCAGCATTTGGATTCGAAAGAAATGTCTGAAATAAACTTGCATCTGTTTCTCGGATGAGGCTGCCAAGCTGTGTCTCAGAACTAACACACATCAACATAACCAAGACAGTTCATTTGTCTGCACACGCTTAAAGTGGCACCAATTTAGGACAAGGACTTAAGGTGTTATTTTTTCTTTTTTTTTTGTAATCATGCTTTTTTTTCTGTCCTGTCACGTCCCCAAAAATAATTCCTTTCATGGAAGGAGATAACAAACCGGTCCCTGTGAACCGTCAGAACTTCCTGGCAGTGCATCCTGCTGGGCTACGCGGTGCTGCTGCTGGAACACGGTGTGCTTTGCATGCTGCCGATACTGTGGCCTGTACTGCTGTTCTCCGAGGCAGGCTGGGACTTCTGGACCGGCTGTGTGCCAGCTGTCTCACCTAGATGTAGAGCAGAAGAGGGAGTGGGGCCACAGGAGGAAGGGGATTGGACCAGAGGGAGAGAGGAAAAATGAGTATAATTTCCAAAAAAGCCAACCGTAGGCAAGAACATTACAAAGTGATTTGGTTAAAGCTACAAATTGAACTCCTCTAAGACTGTCGAGCCTCCATTGTTCTTCTGCACACAGAAAAAATGGGCTGCATAAAGCTCCTACTGTTTACTATAACTGCCACTTGACATAAAGCTTTCACTGAAGCCCGTATAAAATCTGAGCATTCCTATTTGGATTAATGTACTTTTATCCCTAAGAAAAACAGTGTACTTTTACGTATAAAGAACTCAGGACTTCATCTGCCCTCATTTTTGACCATTTTCAACCATAATCTGCCACAGATTCTGTTTTTAAAAAGTAATCCTCTAAAGATGCCACCTCAAAACGACCAGAAACAAATGGTCGCATCCTATCTGACAGATGATATTTTAAACAAAGAGAAGAAGATGTTTCTACGTTCACAGAGTTCATTTCTGTCTGGAACCAATTAGCCTTGCTTTAGCAGATAAAGGCGAACAAACACAACACGGGCCCTGTGACCGGAGCTCAAACCAATGACTGGTTTATTGTTCTATGTCTAAATAAGCATTTGATTTCGTAAACTCTTGGGATCCAATGGCTAAAATGAAGGGAAAATAGAAGTGCTCGAGTTTGTTTCCAAAAACTGTCTCTGACAGACAATGAACAGCTTCTGAAATAAAGCCAAGTCTGTGTTTAATTTGAGTATTTGGCACAATTACTACTGCAGTGTGTCCCTCGCTTGCATTATAGCTTTTTCTCCTGGAGAGAGATTGTTCTATCGATAGTTTAGTTTGTACTAGAGGTCGTGTGTGTTTTATACATATGCTTGCATATATGACAGGCATATGTATCCACAGGCATCCCTTTCCCTCTTTCGGGCCCCACAATTCTCCTAATGTTTACCAGAACAGGGCTGCCAGCAGTCTTTCCCTCACAGGACCAAGAGTGCTGCAAAACAAAGGCACTTGGATTCACCTCATCTGTCAGAGGAAATTTAAATTCCCAAGTCTGATATTATCTTTCTAGATAGGAAAGATAAAGGCTGCTTTTATCTGACCGAAACATAAAGTGAATGAAAACTCTCTATGAAAGTTGTTGTAACAGATGTCTACTCAGGGACAATTTGCCTTAGATTTCAGTTTGGGAAAATACTGACCCCAGTATCTCTTGGATACAAAAATTCAAACATACAATGTCTTTGTAGTGGCTAAGGATACAGTAACAGCATCCAGAACAGAAACTTCTCCACCCAACATCCGCTCTTTGCATGCACCTGCACAGAAAGCACGCTAACACAAAGTTAGCAACGAACCCGGCCGTTTAGCTGGCTTTATATTCAACTCATGGCGCAGTCAGGCTTGTTCCACCCTACTCCTTCTACAGCAGGATCACTGTGGTGATCTCTGTGAGGTGTTCTTTGGGCTGGTTAATATTCAGAATTTCTTTTGGTAGAATTTTCCCAGACCATGACAGCCAGAATCAGCCAAGCATGCTTTTCAAGGGCAGGAGAAACCAGAACTTCCACATAAAACCCAGTCGTAGGACTGGGAGAACATACAAACTCTACATTAAAAATAACGACATAGCTCTGGCTATAAGACCACGTTGCCATTATAATTTTATAAAGGCTTGTGGAGTAATATTGCAGAAACAAACAATACAAAGCTCTGCAAAGTTTTATATAGGTACAGCACAACTTTGAGCTGAATCCTAATGTGACAAAGATAATATGGTTATGTTTAACCGTCTCTTACTGACCATATCTGTCCAGCTTTTAAGCATGACGACATTTGGGAATCAGGACTAAACAGAAAGTAAAGCAGGGGCCCATGGGATTAGCGTTGGTCTTGAATGTAGTAAGTATAAGACACATTCACATTGTGATAAGTAAAAAGTATTTTAATTCATTTTAAGAGGCGTATAAAGTATTTATCATGGAGTTGAACTCATTTGATACTAATTTATACAAAAGTCAGCTCAACAAAAATCATGTAATCGTGAAAAAAGTGTTTCAGTAGTGACTCAACAGAATGCCATCGTCATGCTCTGACTGAGCTTAGAAAAGTTGGTGTGGCTGTCTAGGTTTAGGTTAGATAAAACAGTGAGTTTTCGGATTATCTTAGTAACGTATTTAAGATATGAGTGATGGTGGGACAATTTACTATGGCCAGATGAGCTTGTTTAAGCATTTCTGAAATAGCAAGGCTTGTTGTGTGTTCTCACGCTCAGAGGAAGGACAAACAATGACCTGGTGACAGTGTGTGGGATGTGCTGGAACAAGTTTGATCCGAATGGGTCCAACTTTCAACCTGCAGGTTTTGCTGTGGGTATCAGATTACACGGGACACATTTAAAAGTCCTGCAGCATCCTAGGCCTCCAAGTGATTGGACCTGCTTAGGTAGGAGAGGTCCTAACATTTTGGCTCATCGGAGTCTGAGAATGTCATTGTCATTGAATGTCAGAGCAGATAATGTTTGAAGTTTCTCCTTGTGTCTGGCTGTTTTAACAGTTGGTTTCATTTTGTGGATGAAAACAAAATTCTTGCACAAGGTGACAACAGCTCCAGCAATATCCAGCAACCTACAAGCCGACTACAATATATGCGCCAAGACAATGAGAAAACTGTCAAAGGTTATAATGTGAGGTTGATGTTAAAGCATTTATGTTGCTGAATGCCTTGTAGGGAAATAAATCGTAATAGATAGAAAAACCCAAAATATAATTCCAAGGACTATATCTAACTGTTTTCTGAGAGGTCCTCAGACCCTGAGGGGATAGACTCAGTTTAGTTTTCTTGTTTCATCATTGGTTTAAAATATGCTCTCAAGTGGTATTTTGAGTGGTTGTTTTGGAGGATATACTTTCTTGGGTTAACATGGGACAGAAAGTGTTGCCATATAAGGTCATTTCAACTAATCCTGCTTAACACACCCATCTAAAAGTGTACTTTAATAATGGAAGGAACTTGTGCCTTAAAGTCATCGCCATGCATGTTTCCTCCTAACTGCTATCTCCACCTCTGTTTTTCATGCGTGTTCACCTTTGATATGTACTGCCAGCCAAATGTAAAGATTTGTGTTTCTTTCTTGGTCACCCACTAGAAAATCCATGAAGCACAAGTGAAGTGGTTTTCTGAAGAGAAGCCAATACCAATATTGTGACAAAGATAAAGGCACTAAACTCTGACAGCTGATCTTTACGTCTAAAAGATATTCAGAAAGAGCTAAACTCATTAATGTGACAGAGCATGACTGGAACAGTTTGCAGCACTGTAACCTGACACGTGCCTGTATTGTTGTAACTACCTGGGAGAATGATTTACACTGCCAAACTGTGAGCTCTTAAAAAACCTTCGCTTTACATACCGAATGCTAAAGTGAAACAGCCTAAGCCCTTCTGCAAAACGCACTGAGCTCACAGGTCAGTCAGTTAAAAACTAAGGCAGAGAAGAACAGGGCAGCTCTATGCAACAGTGAACTCAGTGGGCTGCTGGGAACTCACTTCCTCTCATAGGTCAGTTAGGGTCAGCGGGCTGGGGACGAAGGGGAAGGTCTTGGCATCTAATGGACAGATTGTGTGTCTTTTCCTGTGAGCGCCCACTAAACCCTACAAGGGGAATTTCCAACTCGTCTCCAGCCATTGTACTGAGAATGTACTGAGAAAGACCACCACATGGCCCCCAAAACATTCAAAGGCAGGAAAGAGAAGAGCTCTTGCTGCTGACCAACAGGATATATTTACAGTAGAGGAGTCAATACGTTATTGTGAGCTGGCCTCTGTCAGCAGCAGGATGTTTGGCAATCACAGCGGCACATTTCTGGCACAGAGACCCTCAGGCATTCCTTTGCATCTTATCTTTTCATTAATGTGGAGAAGTGAGTTGGGGCCACGGAGAGGCAGGTAAAGAACCTACCTGTGTGCGCGTAGATGAACCACAGAGCTGCGGTCAAGAGAGCCCCGATGACAAAGGCTGCAAAGGCGATGCCCACCACCACAGGAGTGTCCAGTACATACACTACTGAACAACAAACCAACACACAACATGGTTTTAATGTTAAACAAGTGTATTATACATACAATTACAATACAAATATAAATTACCTAAAATATGTAAAACAAGAAAACAAATATTAGGAACTGAAATCGTAACTAAGTTCATCTTTTACCCAGTCACACTGCCCTTGCATCTATTGCCTATATTCTTGGACTCTAATAGAGTAGCTATGGATGATTTACAAAAAACAAACAAAAAAATAACAACAACTATTGCCTGGCCTAGTTAGCTGTGTTATCAGCAAACTACAGATCCATAGTTACTGGTAAATTCTAGTTACGTTCTTCAATTTGAAAGAAAAAAGTCCAGCAAGCATCACAACTGTTATGGTAAGGACCAATATGAAATATTAAGTGACCTAAGCTGATGATTCCTTATATAGCTTCATTATTTACTGGTTTATCTTATGCAGTTTATTCATTTTTGGGATCCATATAATCCACTAATATACACATGGACATACGCAAAATAAAATGCAATCATATAATACTTACCATCAGGAGAGGGCTTACGTGGCTCTTCTGATAATTTTGATGTAGGATCTGCAAAAACAACATATAATAGTTTAAATATATGTTGACTATTGCATGTACAGATGCACAGTATACAGTATGAATTATGGTACATTAAAATAGCACAATGCATGCTCTGAGTCAGCCTGTCAGGAGCAGCAGATTGCTGATACTGCAGTGTGTTGATAAGCAATTCTCTGTGGAATGTGATCCAGAAATCTGAACCAGGAAAACGCTGAAAAAGCAGCTATTCTGTAAGCCGGCAGTGTCCTAACGGATGAACCTTTTAACTCCAACCAATCATGCTCACCCATTTATTTCAAGCCATCTGGAAGGCTTTCAAAAGTGAAATTAGCTATAATAATGTCTTAACAAACAATACAAAGGCGCTTGTGTACGGGCGAACTCAAGAGGCAAACCTGGTATACGTCCAAGACTGGGGCACAATGGCTGCTATTCTCGGACAGAACACTTTTAAGTTTTCATCTCGGGTAATGGATGATGACAGGTCATCAGAGAAGACTTTAATTTCAGAGGGGACGATGGCCAGAGGACGTCCTCTGTGCCACCCTACTCCCCTTCAGTCTGGAGCTATCTGTCCCGGGTGACTTGTTATGCTAAAAATGTCGAGGCCATGAACACATGCAGCCTCATAAGCAGAAGATAAAGGAGGAATATACAGACTGAACCCAGCAAAGCACAGGAGTGTTTAATGCTCTCGTGTTAACACGACTCAAAGATCATGTGCAAGGCTGAAAGCTCGGTGCTTTCAAATACTGCCTTGATGTCTATAGGGTACAGTTCTCTGCAGGACATCTGACCTGTCTTGAATGTTGTTTTCTACTTTTAACAGAACCAGACATCTGCTTCAAAGTTGAACTTTTGATTTATGTTAGCTTTATGTTGTTACCAAACTTGAAACAGCCCTGATATCTCTATGAACATCATTTATTTATGTAAATTTGCCTGATATGGAAAGAAGCACTCCTGCGTAATGACTTGTTTTTGTTCAACTTTGGCCTTTCGTCATAGAGCTGTCGCTCCAAGACTCTCAACACAGAAGAGTTTCAAACTTATAAACCATGCAAAGGTTGAACTCCGTAGCTCAAAACATGTTATTTAACCCAGCTCAGGTCCACAAGGTTACTAGCTCTGCCTAAAGTGCGGTGTACAATCTGCAAGCATATGTCAAAGATTTACTCTCTTCTTTTGTTCATACTCTGCTGAGGCATGAATCCTAACTCATGTTCATCTTTTCTTTTTCAGAACTAAAAAATATGATCTTTTTAATGATAAAGCGAGCTTCTTGACATCTGGCCAGTGAATACAGCAAACCATATGGAGAGCCTCATTCAGTTGGTTTTAAAGTAATAAATGAGATATTTTATGAGAAATCAGTTACTTAGAAAGACAAAGTTATCTAAAGGATGAACGTGTTCATATATTAAACGCTGCAGTTCAACCTGTTCAGTCCAATGTGATATAAAAAATTATCCTCTGCCTTTACACTTTGCAGACTTTAAACTAAATTAATACTACATGTACTGATATGATGATATAACCAACACTGCCAGCCTCTCAGATAGATTATACCTTTCAAGTTTTTCTAAACGTTCCTGAACCCATAAAAAAGGGATCAAATTTATTGACGTTGTGAAGCAGTAAATCTAATTTTGATGGTAGAGCTTTGAGGCTGTTATGTTTTTCCATGCACAAAGTTGGCCACAAGTTGCTCCCTTTGATTTGTAGATTGAACTCAGCTTTTTGGGATGTTGTCCAGTGCAGAACCGTGGCCCTTGAAAAGGCTGCTTATTTTGTTTGCCATCCTAGCATAAGCGATGCCTTTGTGTTCTTTGAATTCGAGGGTTTTTTTTTCCAGTGTGTTTATGGCATAAGTGTGTTTACTTACTCCATGGAAAATAAACCCGCTGCACTGGCATAGGGGTGCATGCAGCGCACCCTGCCTGTACCACTTTGGACTAGCTTGGCTTAGACACTCAGCCATTACTTCAAATTTCACAGTCTCTGTTCACCAATATCCTCAGCATCAACACTGGCATGTCTGTGCTAAAAAGTGACTCCATCCATATAGTATCATTGCCCAGCATTGGAGGCTGACATCCAATTAAAATGTAATAAAGCCACAAACGTCTGGTTAGAATTATCCTGCACAACTCTGACTCACACTAGAGCTCAGACAAGTAGGAACTTCAAAGCTAATAAAATTACTGACGTTTAAGAGGAAGACCAGGATCTGAAAAATACCATCAGTGCATACACTGCAACTGGGAGAAGCCATAAAATGAATCTAATCAATCAATAAATTGTTTGGTCTATGAAGAGCTCATCACAACTGATATTACCACCCGAACAAAATACAGGGTTCAAATCCACAATGGAACACTATTCTGAATAGCACACATATACTGTAGCACAGAGATTGACCAAGCCAATACCAAAACCAAGTTTCGTTAGGTAAAGGAGTAATCAGTCTATTTTCTACCATTGTGAAATAGCAGTTGGGCTGTAGCTTACACCAATTAAAATGATCTAATTTACATCAAATCACAAGCCAATAAACATGACTCAAACTGACCCCAGGTCTCGTGTTGATGTCATTGCTCAGAGGGAGATGCTAATATGAAAAATGCTGGCAGTCCGCTAGAGAAAAGGCACTGATTATATCAGTCCATTTAGGTTTAGGTCATAATAAATATCATGTGATGGCATTACCTCAGGTCTCCATCCTGCCTTCTAAACGTACTTACACCCCCTGAGGTGCTACGATAAAGAGTGTGAACCAACGAGTGACTAAACATCGAGGGACCTTTAGGCTCTGATTGAGCGCTCAAAGCCAACAAGGGGACCACCGCTCCTCATTTTCCCCCTCACTAGTGGAAAGCTGAGGCCACAGTGAAGGGCCTAAGTGAAAACAACTGGATCTTAGTAACGTATGACTGTTCTTTTCCATGTCTCCCTCAGCATGGTCTGGTCCACAGCAGAACTGGGCCTCAGCGTTAGCACACTCCCCTTTATCAGCCATATGCTAGTTTGAACACACACACCCAAAAACACACTCTTGTGTACAGATGTCAATGTAAACGGAGACACACCATATGTGTATGCCTAAGCACCTGTATACACAATCATATACACACAACACAGTTAATAAGGACCAGATGTTGGACCGTGATCCCGTCGTTTGGTCTGATCTCCAAGTATCGACTTTATGCGGTTCCTCTGCCTTCAGAATTGCTTCTTTCACTGTGCATACTCGTATTTGTGGATGTCACAGTTCCAAGCACAACTGAACTCCTGGTGTAAACAGATGTAAATTATGTTTGCTTTTGCTTTTACTGACCTGGTATGTGGCTCAAGTAATCCACCACAACCAGCGGTTGAGTCGAGACCTTTTTGTTCATCATCATCGCCATGATATTGTCCACAGAGAGAGAATCACAGTTTTCAATGGGTGGCAAACACTGTGCAGAAAATAAAAAAAATATCAAATTAATACACACACACACAACCCCGTTCAGCTATCTTAGTAAGGACTTTCATTGACATAATGGTTTCCCTAGCCCCTTACCCTAACCATTAAAAATGAATGCCTATCCTTAACCCTTACAAAAAAAAAAAAAAAACAAACAAAAAAACATGACTCTATTAGTGGTAGAAATAAGCTTATAATTATTTTTATATTTAAAAAATTAAATAATTATATAAGAAATATTATATTCATATCAGATGGATTAGACAGTTTCCTCTTGCACTGAGATTGCAAATAAATGTGTGATTTATAAAAACTAACAAAAGATTGTGTGGGAATGTTGAAAACTAACAAGTAATTAACCTCACAATTAATTTTAAGAGCACAAAATAAAGCACAATAAGACTCAGCATTTTGTGGAGCCTAAATCCCCTCCACAATTCTTTAGAGGAATCTGTCTGCCTTTCTGGTTTTAATATAATGTTTTTAGTTTATTTTTAGGATTTTTTTTATATATACCACACTTCCCGTTAGCTCATAAGCTGAATTCTTACACAATAATTTAATATAAGGACCAGTCAGTCAGATAGGACAACTACAGTATATGCCAAAGAGGACCGTCGAGGGAAGGAGAAGAGGAGCAGAAAAGTTTATCAGGAGCTTTAAAGGAGAGTATGGATGATCCAGCGGCCCCTAGGACCGTGCACTAAAGCTTTAACAAAAGAGAACTAAATCGAACTCTTTTTCATACCTAACCATAACCTAATTGTTACCCTGACACTAAAACCGCATTTTGAACCTCAAAAAGGCCTTCAAACGTGTAGGACCGGTGAGTGTGTCCTCACAAGTGACTGTTGGCTCTCACAAGTATAGTAGAATGCAGATTTCGGTCCTCACAAAGATAGCTAGACAGGAACACACACACACATATATATATATATTTTTTGGGGGGGTAACATTTAGGTAAGACTTACAGAAAATAAAAGAAAGCGCTTGCACCAGACAGAACAAATAACAGAGGGAGAAAAAAAGATGATTATTTTGCTCAGTGGTCGGCCACTTGGGAAACTGTGCATCGATGCATGGTTCCCGCTTAGGTTTGGGGGCAGACCTGACACTGAATGTTGCAGGTCAGCCGGAGTAAAGATGGTCTCCTACAGGCCCGGCTGCTCAAACAAACACTGGTGATACTCTGGGAGACTAAAAAAAAACCACAGCAATGGCTCTTTGGGGAAGATTATTCTGCATACCTGTGGTAAATTTAGATTCCTCTGAGATGACTTTGAGCACAGAGACATCTCACAATGCAGGAAAAGCAGGGACACTTTGAAAGTTGAGTTGAAGATGAAGCTGAAGGTTTTCTTATCCATCTTTGTAGGATGGACAGGGAATTGAGGATAGTATGTGATGGAGGCATCTGTGGGACAAACTGTCTCAATGAGTGTGTACCCTAAAGACACGCTGGGATTGGAGTCATGAGAAATGAAGCACGATATGATGGTGAACCCCAGTTCTGGATCTGATGCAGTTGATGTGATCTGGAGTGGATGAGAGGCAAGTAAAAACAGATTTTATTTGTCAGTTGTCGTGACAGGAGTCTTCATGAAGTGAAGTGACAAAACTGAACGGCAACACAATACTGCTCTGATCTGATTTGAGCTTTACTTTATAATATAATCATTTTTGGAAGAAAACCTAATCTGCTGTTGTCTAAAGAAAGTCTGCAAAGTAATCTTGTTGGACAAAACATGCAAAATGAAAAAGGTGTCATTTTGTATTTGAAGATTTTAAGAAGATCGCAGTAACAATAAATACAAATTATTATTATTGTGTTTTATAGCCTAGTCCTAAAATTGGGAACAATGATAAACACAAATACAAACAAACATAATTTACAAGATGTTAAAATGCTAATTTAAAGCTGAAACAATCAATATTTTCGTGTTAAACTGGGCAGGACAAAAGGGGCACAGTCAAGGTGATAACCCTCAGCTCTAATGAGCTTCTGGTTTCTTTTAGAGCGTTGTTTTGGTTTTATGCTTCAGCTCACTTTTGCTGTACCAGCAGCTGTTCAGCAAAAATAAAATTCAAATCCCACCTTTTACTAACCACAACAGAAAAAGAAGTTCAAAAGTTAGCAGGCAGCTGGTGGCAACTAAAGTGCCAAATAATTCTGTCAGCAGCAACCCAAAGCTGAGCCAAAATAGACTAAATAAGTCTTCTAATAGAAATATTGCGATGTATTTATAGCTGCCAGTGTAAAGATATGCAAAACAAAACAAGAACGACTGCCTGAAAGGTGAGAAACAAATATATTTAGTCATGTTTTACTTATTTCTCAGCTAAAATAAATGCAATGCACTTAAGAGGGAAGGATAAAGACACTCTGTGAGCACTTTGTGTTTACAGCACACTGGCTTTGTGTCCATGCTGTGAGTGAAGCATCTCATTCTGATGTCATCCTACATCACCTCTTCAAAGGACTTTTCAGTCTTTGCTATCTCTTATATGACTAGCATAATTACTGTAGTGAAACAGATATTTTTAGCCAGATGACATGCAGAACTGTGATATAATAAAAGCAAGAAGTGAAAGAAATTATTAGCTTTTTAGCTTGAAACAGTCACAGTGCTCTTACCGAGCGGAGGGCTCGGTAAGAGATTAAATCTGGAAACGCTAAAGCCTCAGATGGAGGCAGATGGTTGCAGTTTTCTGCCAAAAGTTTTCATTTACACCAAACATGTATTCTGGCGTGAGAGGTAATGTATTATAAATGCAAAACATACCTCCACAAACACTTTCTGATTTTGTGAAACGGTGAAGAAATTCTGGCGTGCAGGGTTGTTGATAGGCAGCGAGTCGTACAGCTCCATGTTAAACGTCATGTTGTTGACCGGTTGCCTTGGTGGTTCCTGTACAATCCTGGGAGCTGAGGTTTCCTGATTCTTAGTTTTTCTTGTGTATGTGCAGTTGAACTGTTAGAAGAATAAGGCAAAGCCAAAACAAATATCAGCAGGACTCTGACATTACATTCCACGGCTAAGCGCTCTCACTCCACATGACTGTGTGTCACTGTTTGACCACATTAAGACAGACCAGGAACAAAAGAGATACTGTATAAACAAGAACAATAAGTGGGAGACGAGGACTGGATGAGATAAAGGAAACTAAGCTAGCAGAGAAAAGATGGAGAAACTTCAAAATGGAAAATGGAAGGTCAAGTTCATTAAACGGACATCATGGAAAGATGGGGAGATTGCAGCCAGAAGAGTCTTTACTAGCAGCCCAAGGGGCAGTAGGAAACTGGTGTTTCTTCCAACTATGCATGATTTACTGCAGTTGCGCATATAGAGATACAGTTTATCAGTAGTCTCGACTTGTCAACTTTCCCCTTGCAATGAAGTGCAGATCTGACAGAAAAAGGACCACAATGATTCCAGAGTCTTACCAATATGGTGGATGAATCGAACGTTTTCACGGGAAGCATACTCTCGGGGCCTCTCTGGTCGCTATTCCCATCTTTAGTCTCAGCATGACTTACAGTGACCTGCACACCAAAGAGAAGTTTGTTACTAAGCCCACGCTGACAAACCTGAGCACAACAATCAGCAGTTGACGGAAAGTTTACACAAGATTTTTTTCCAATTTTTTTCCCCCCTTTTCTACTCCCTTAGTATTGCCTCATTCAGGCGGAGATTTGAATTGTTAAGAGAGGTCGGCAAAACATTCTTGCTTAAATCTGGGAATGTCCTGTGGCCTCAGTGAGACAGGACATATTTCTAATTTCTCAGTGGAGTAGTGGCATGTCAGGGCCTGAGATGAGTCTGCTGCTTTACAGAGAGGACTGTCTCAATGACACTAACAGAGCTGTTTTGAAGTTTGCTGACCTGCCTTTGGTGCCACTGCTGAAATAAATCAACATATCACAGCAATGTGGGGACAACAGCCAAAACACATTAGCTTTGATGAGTGGGAACCCAGACAATTGAAAATTAATCTCCTTTGACCAGAGGTCAGAGGTTGTCTGCACGTCCAAATGATAACACAAAAGATGACCTTGGACTTATGCCTGGGTTTTTAATCTGCACTGGACAGAAAAAGTGTTTTTTCCAAACTTCCCCAAACAAAAGATTTTAAAAGGCCAGGGTAGAAGTGATTCATGCTTGCTTGTTAGAACAAACATGCTGAATGAATGCATTCCACAGTAATGAAGATAACTGGGAATGTCTTAATCACATAAAAGCAGGTGATCACAACTAGATACAAAAATGAGTCAGAAATGTAATCATTTTCCCTGCACATATTGTCCATATCTTTCCAGTTTCCATTTGTACACAAAAAGAGCATGGCTATCAGTGGACATCTTTATTTAAAAAATATTTATTTATGACACAAATAAGTGTCAAGCCTCTGAATGAGCATTTCCCATGGCAGTGCTGACATTTAAGCACTGGTCATGCTAAAAAAAAAAAAAACACCCTAACAACTAATCTAATCAAATTAGCCTTCAAAGCTTTCTGCCAGATCTTTTTTAAAATGTGATTTATTTTCTTTGAAAGAGTATGTGTGTTTGAGTATTTCAGCTCAAATGATGATCTTTTTTTAAACTAATCAAATACATTTATTCTCTGAATGTAATTAAACTGCAAGTTAAAGCTAAAAATACCTTAAAATAAAACAAAAAGGCTTTCTGACAGTGGGCACATTTTTCCCTGACTTCAGAGTGTCACAGCTCTGTACTACCCATAGATATCAATGCTTTAACAAGCCTAACATCTTAATATGTTAAACCTAGGCTAACACACATCTATATGTTAGTCACTCAGGAATTGTTTAGACAAGCAAAGTTTGACTTTGGCACGTGGTTAAAACTGTGTAAAGGGTGTATTTCAACAAAAACTAGTATCTTTTCTAAAGTTTAAACAAGTAGAAAAGAAAGTTTTCTGGCTGAAAGCCTTTCTGTTAAAATGTTCTCATTGTCTTCTCATTAAGTTGTTCTCATTAAGTTGACAAGTTAAAATAAAGCAAGATAATTATAGTGACTTTTTAAAAAATGAAGAGTGTTTTGTAGTTTATTTCAATTTAAAATTAAATAATATCTTTGTATTTATAGTAGCAACTAGAGGTCTGATATACAGAGAGGGCATTTTCAAGTAATTTCAGCTACACTGTAACACCAGATAATATACTCACAGAATTGATGTAGATCGTGCTATCCTCTATGGTAAATTCGGTGGTCTGACAGCCAGTCAAAGGAGTTTCCAGAGTGTAGTGGGTGGCATTGACTGTTGCTTTGCATTGTGGGTCTTGAAGTGTGAGGCTGGCATTTGTAAACCCGCTTGCCTAAGTTAAGAAAAAATAAATAAAAAGACAAACATGGATGGAGATCAAAACACTTTTCCTTTATTAACTTTTCAGAATTGTAAAAAGAAAAAAAAAGGAGAAAAAAGTCCAAGTACTTGTGCAAAACCTGGAGTTCTCAGGAATAAACAAATCCCACAAGGTGGTCTAGCTCCAGCTCCCAATTACAGCCTATGCCAGTTTCCATTCTGTGATGTGGGCTGATTGAGCTGTCCCTATGTTCAGACGCCAAATGCTTGAAACAGCCCTGCCTGCTTCAGTGATTTACTTTTTCTCATTTCACTTTTGTAGATCTGAAACTTGCTATCCCCACACAACAGATAGGTGGGGTCAACTGTCTCCATAATTATCCACATGTAACCATTAGACCAAGACAGCATCATTATTTGGTAACAACCTCAGCACACAGTGCGTGCTTTTTGAAAATAAACAACACAGCGTCATGGAGGTTTATGCTAGTATTTTGTAATCGCTGCAGAAGACATTCATTCAGCCTTTTAATTGGTCTAGACGCTTCTAGTCTTTTTGGATGAGCTCCATTTTGTTGTTTTCTGCTCTTCTTGTCACATTTTGTCACACTGACTCTGTGTCGTGTGAAAAGAGACGCAAAAGTAAAACAACAAAATGCCTTTCTCATTGATCAGAAGCATAGAATACATCGATATTTAAAATAACCATTATTTGTAGCCTGTTGGGCTCCGGGCAGAATCAGAGAATGTCCGGTTGTTTACTCACCTGCAGACTCTGTTTGTCAATGCTGACCACCATCCTTTCTTTTTTGCACTGCACACTATGGTCAACATTCAAAGTGATTTCGGGCTCATCGGGCTCATAGGGCAGGTGTCCCAGCGGAGGCATGCCCCCAGTTGTAAGGAATGGAAACGGCAGACCGGATCGTCGCAGTGGAGTTCCAGCGTCAGGAAGAGGACTAGAATCACGCAGGATGGCGAGTTCGGGAGGTAATTTGCTCTCCAGAGAATCCACGACATCTAGAAGTCACACGTAACCTCATGAGGCTGATTTTGCATCCAGGAAACTACACCTACAACTTTTTACAATTGAACGCTTGTTTTATGCTTCATCATGAATGGAGAATGTGATTCTTCTTCAGCTTACCTGGCTCTCTAAGTCGGATATTGAAGTGGTTTGCCACGGGAGTGCTGGTGTAAGATGTGACTGGATTGTGGCCAAGATCGCTTGCCCACTGGATTAAGGCTTGTGGCCCTGATGGCAAGCGCTGCATGGGGGATTTGGACACTAGCGCCTGTGAGCCAACAGTCACTGTATTAGAGGCCTGTGGAATAGAACTCTCATTAGATGCTTTCTCATCTCTTCAGGTTTTATCAAAGATATTCAACTTCAAGTACAGTCCTGCACTTATTCTGCATGAATCATGTGTGAATCATGTGAATGAGTGTGAGGTAATGGGCGTGTCGCAGCTCGATCATTGCTCAGAAACCAACATGTTAGCTTGCTCCTAAAAATTTGCGTCCTGCCCTGCTGCTCCCCCAGTGAGGGAGGCCTCATTCTTTCTCACAGCCATTTCCCACACATTCAAGTCTCTTGAGCAACACTTGACGAGAACCTGCTTTCTGACAGATCGAGGCCTGAGTTTTATTTTGGCCATCATATCACTTGCGTAGCTGACGATCTCTCACACATTGGTTGCACAAGCAGCGTATCCTGTGTACCGCTGCTGTCAAGTAAAAGTCAAAAAGTAAGCAGTGGGGGAGCTAAAAAAATGACTCACCTTTTGGATGTTTAAGATAAATG